CCTGCTTATGCACAAAAGCCTTCAGGTATACACACAATAAACCACTTTTATCTTTCGCAATGGCGGTACCCTTTGGGAAAAAGTTGTGGAAGTGACAAATGCTGCTGAACCAGTGATTCTCTGTTGTCCTAATGCTGTGACCCTTTAATACAGTTCCTCATGTTGTGGTGACCCCCCAACCATAAAATTATTTTCATTACTACGTCATAGCTGTCATTTTGCTACTGCTATGAATCGTAATGAAAATATCTGTGTCTATTCTGATGGTCTTAGGTGACCTCTGTGAAAGGGACATTCGACCCCCAAAGGGGTCCCAGACCACAGGTTGAGAACCACTGTTCGAAACTCATCACTTTATCAGACTTTTCTAAAAGTACATTTCCTCTAATGTACAGTGCAATAGAAAGGACGTGAAAGGAACAGGAATAGAAAGGAAACACAAGATCAGACTGATGGCGCTTCACTTGGAACTCAGCTTGACTCATGAGCTGTATGATGTTGAGCAAATTGTGTAGCATCACTTCAGCCTTCAGCTCCCCTTTTATGGATTAAATACATTTAACAATCCATGTATTTGCAAAACTTCTAGTAATTTGCCTAACAGAATTAATGATCATGCATTGTTCATTTCCATCCATCTCTAGTCTCTAATCGCTAAAGATGGAACTAATTGAATCATAAACCCAATTGTAATTCATTTTCTTTTCCTCATTAAATATCTGAGTGCTTTCAAATACTGCCTCACGTCAGTTAGGGTGGGTACAGGGCCCAGACACTATAGAGATATCCATGGATCTTGCTTTTAAGGTTCATGAAGAGCAGGAAACGACAGGCCTGTAAATTATTAAATGATTATGTTGTGGAGTAAAACCCTAGTGTAAAATATAATGAGAATCCACCGGGAAGGGGAATATTACTAATCCACAGAAGAGTGGGAAAGGCCTTGGGGAAGCAAAGGCTTTAGCTGGTCCTTAAAGACAGGGGTCCAGAGAAGGGAAAAGGCACAGTTTAGAGATCAGAAGCACGTGGTTCAGCCTGATGCAGGGATGAAGCTCATGAAATGGCTGATCATTTGGGGGCAGGGAACTTTGGGTTAGATGACTGAAGGTTTTGAAAGTGCCACAAGGAACTTGTACCTGATGTAGCGAGATGTCCGTAAGGTTCTCAAAGGTTTCTGAAGTGTTTGTTCGGTTTTGAGACAAGGTCTTACATGTACCCCAAGCTGGTGTCAAACCCATAACTCCCAAGTGCTGGGATTAGCCTGTGTCAACAGGCCCAGCATGGTGGGTCTTGAAATTATGGGGTTTTGAAATGATTATTTTTAAAAATTATTTTTATTATTTTAAGTTATATGTATGTGTCTGTGCACATGAGTGCAGATGCCCACCGAGGACAGGGTTCTCAGATGCCCCTGGAGCTGGAGTTACAGATGACTGTGAGCTGCCTGATGTGGTGCTGGGAACTGAACATGTACTTCTTCTGGAAGAGAAGTACATGTACTTAACCACTGAGCCATCTCTCTAGCTCCTGAAATGATTCTTCTATCAGACATGTTGGCTGTTCCTTCCAGACTCATGTTCCTCTGTCACTAAATGTGCATGTCATCTAGGTCTTCATTTGAGCTGCTAGGAGGCTGAATGGGCAGATGAGCAAGGGAAATCCAGCAGTCCACCCAGGGAAACCTTCCATCAGATTAGTGTTTCAGTGCTGTGGCTTAACTTGCCACTCTTAGAGCAACTCATTATATTGTGTTGTCACTAGCTAAAATGTCTGTCTAATTTATAAAATCATGTTGGGAACTCTGTCAAAGGTCCTACTGAAATCGAGCTGCACCACCCTCCCTGGTTTCAGTAAAGAAAAACTAGGTACTTCCTGGTTTCAGTGAGTGTGCACTGGTGTTCACACACACGGTACACCATCTAGTAATGACCCTAGGATTCCAGCAGGAAACCATAGCAAGTCATACCTTTTAGGAGGAGATGATCAGTTTCTTACCATAAGGTAAGGCAGAGGGGGACCTGAAGATGGCTGGGCTTGATGCTGGAGGGTTGCGACAAACTCAGTTTTAGATTTTGGATTTGAAGGGCTGGCATGGCAAACATCAGCAAAGAGTGATCCTGAGTAAGACTGAAGAGTCCAGTAAGTAGGGCTCTATCATCCCACATGACCACAAGGTAGCATAGTCCCCGAAGGGGGCAGCTGCTTAAATAAGGATGGCATTGCATTCCACAAGTTCTAATGTCTAGCAAAGTACTTTCTTCCCCTACTCCAGGGAGCTAAGACATTGTCCTGAGACAGAGCATGGGCAACTAACTCCTTCCCACTTAGAGAGCGTCCTTAGACTCTATAGCAGCAACCACAACCCTTACAGGGGCTCGGCTAAGACTATTTTGACTGTGTAGAGTTCCTAGAGGGAACATGTGTGTGGTGTAATGTATTAAATGCAGAGGCAGAGTGAGAATCCATGTCTTCTATTTAAGCCAGGCATTAAGGAGATTTTCCAAAACAGAGAGAGAGAGAGAGAGAGAGAGAGAGAGAGAGAGAGAGAGAGAGAGAGAGAGAGAGTAGGGAGATGCTTTTCTGATTTTTGAAGATATTTGGAGAATGGTTACTTTTCATTTTGTTTTGGTTTTTGAGATAAGGTCTTACTCTGTAGCCTAGGTTGGCTGAACCTCACAAGTGTTGTCTTGCCCTGGCCTCCCAGATGCTGGGGTTCCTGTTGTGAGCTGCTGCATCTGGCTACTTTTCATCAAAATCCATTATAAAGGGCTGAAAGATGGCGCAGCAGATAAAGGTGTTTGCTCCCAACCCATGGTGGAAGGGAGAAGCATCTCCAGAGAGCTGTCTTCTGCAGACAGTGACGTAGGTGTCCTTTCCAGTTTTAAGGTAATGACTATACTTACTTCCTGGGATGTTTGGTTGTATGCCTTAATTTCCTAGGAACTCACAGTTGTACAACAGGTGAAGCACTGGCCTTTGGAGACCAGTTGGGTGATTCATAGGTGTGATGCTGTGATTCAGACCTCTAAGTTTCTCAATCTGAGATGAAGGACTAAGATGGCTAGGGAAAATGCCCCAGAATAGCCTGCGCTGCAGCTGTTACCACTTGGAGGGGCCGAGGGGATAAGAATGGCTTCCTTCCTTCTAAGTCACCTGCTTGCTCTTCCTCGGATAGCTAGTGGCACTTCCAGGATTCCTATTGAAGGAGAGTTTAGGGGAAACAACCCATTGAATAAGGGGTTAGGTAACATTTTTGTTAAGGTGTATTTCACACACACACACACACACACACACACACACACACACACACACACGAATGCATGCTTGTTTTTGAGGGTGTTCTTGGTTATAAGAGGGTGCTAAGGACTTCCAAACCCTCCCACTGCTGAGAGTACATCTATTTTTAGTGTGGAAGCCTTTGAAGTGAAGGAATAACAAGGTTTGATAGAGTTTTGGCCAGGACTCTTTTGCTATTGCCGTTTACATTTGTAAATCTATATTCTGCCCGATGAGGATTAATCAAAAAATAAACTTGCAAGAAGATTTTTTTTTTTAAGTTTGAAAAAGCTGAATAAGTGGTAAGAGTAAGCACAATGGCAGACTATATTAGCTCCGGGATCTAAAGCAATTGATAGAGCCCACAAGGAAACAGGCAATTAGATCAAAGAAAAATCAAAGGTTGAAGCGGTGGGGCTGGAGAGATGGCTCCGTGGATAAGAGCACTGGCTGCTCTTGCAATGGGCCCTGGTTCAATTCCCAGCACCCACAGGGTGGCTCACATCCATCTGTAACTCTAATTCCAATGAACCTGACACCCTCTTCTGACCTCTGTAGGCACCAGGTACACATATGGTGCACATATATCCATGCAGGCGAAACACTCATACACACAAAATAAAAGTAAATCTTAAAAAGAGGTTGAGGCAAGCAGTTTATCACAGAATCATTGTGCTTTTATTACAGTCACGGTCTGCTCAATAGGATATAAGGTACGGCCTTGAGGAACTTGCATCATGAACAGGAAGACGGGGATGTCTGAGATGTTCCTTCAAGTATGGTTTTGAAACTTTTGTGTAGAGTTTATTGTTCCTGTTGGTTACTCTCTCTCTGAGCCTAATTACAGAAGGAAAATAGAAGGAAGAAAAAAGTGGATGAGGAGGAGAGATAATTAGATTAAAATACAGAGGCTTTTCAACTACACGCTCCCAGCAATGTGTGGACGGCTGGCTGGCTGGCAGGCAAGCTGGAGCCTAACACCTTATGTTGGTGAGGAAGAAACTGAGGTCTGTCCCCCGGGTCCCACCTGATGACCCAGAGGACCAACGGCAACGCCAGGTTCCCTGGTTCCCAGGCCACAGTCACGACACAATCAAGCCCTTTAACAAAGCTGAAGTACAGTGTGCTCACAGTGTGCTGAGGAGCCCATCACCCAGTTTTTGAGTAGACAGGCGGCTTCTACAATTGTTTGATCACCTACAACAGAAATTTTTTTTTAGCATGACAGTTTCCTTCAGTCTTCTCAGTTACCAAGACGCAAGTTATTAATCTCAAATCCTTAGTCCTTGTAATGACAGACCAGGAGGGCTCTTTAAAATTATTAATTTATGTATACCCACACTTCCACATTCATATGCTAAACATAAATGAACGGCTTTCAAAATTTCTGTTTCTCCTTCGGCCTCTCTCTTCTGATTTCCGTTTCCCGTTTCATCTCTACCTGTTTTTCCTCTCATGACTTCAAAACTCAGCAGGACGCCAGTCTCCTCTCCACAGAGTTCTATTTCTGTCAATGACACCATCATTCTTCCAGTCACCCAGGTCTCAAATCCTGGCATCACTGCTTTCTTCTTTGCCAATCGAATGGGTCACCAATTTCTGTGGCCTCTTTCTGAAATGTGTCTCTCATTTCCAATTTCCTTTTTTTAAAAAAAAAGATTCCACGCTGTACCTTCTAACTCAGGTCCTCACGGTCCTTTCTGTAAGCAGGAAGTGGCGATATCTACCATTTATCCTGTTTCCATTCCTAGGGAACTCTCCAAATCACCACGAAAATGAATGGGGGACGGGGGAAGAATGTGGCTTACTGTCTTAAGGCTTGTAAGCCACGTGCTCCAATATAAAGCAATGCCCTAAAACACAAACACCCATTTTACTCCATTTCAACTTTCCCCGTCCTCCAGGTGTGTGCATGACTCAATTCTAATTCAGAAAACGTCTCCCCCACTTTTGCGGCCTCTTCTCTCTTTCCTCTCCAGTTCCACCCTCTCCAGTCAATTTCTTTTCTTCTTTAAAGCCCGGTGACACTTTTTTTTCTTCTCCCACACTTGCCATGGACTCTGTCACCTCAGTGTGAAATCGCAGGCACTTTATCTTAAAGTCACCAACCAGAGCAGCAGGCGGTGTGACTCCTCCTCAAAATCCCCAAAGTACCTGTTGATGGTGCCAACGGAGGCACCTGCAACCCTGTCTCCATAGACATCGACTTCCCTCTTGGGTCCCCTTCCCAGCCGGCGCATCAGGTCCCGCCGGGGGCATGCAACCCCTGGGGTCTCCGTGACCCCGCGCCGGGGCCTTCCCGCTGGGCGCCGGGCCGGGCGTGCCGGGAGGCTGGGCGGCCGGCGGCGGTTCCGCGCCTGGAGGTAGGTGGTGCTGTTGCCGCGACGTCTTCCTCATTGGCGCCGCGCGGAGAGGCGGAATGTTCAACTCCTGACTCCGGCGGAAGCGTGGGAGCAGCGCGGGCCGCCGTCCCCGACCCCCGCCGCCGCTCGCACCCGGCCCGGGAGCAAGGTAGGGGCCGCGGGGGACCTGGGAGGCGGGAGGGAGCACCACCCTGGAGGATCGACGGGGCCCGGGCCTGCGGGGACCCGGGCAGCGCGGGTGCGGGAGGCCGGGGCTCGGCGGGCGGCTGGCCTCGGCCCGTGCCCGGTGCCCCGTGCCCCGGAGCCCCGCGGCCCCCTGCCGCTGAGCCGAGTACGGCTTGGGCAAGTCCGGGGCAATCCCGTGGGGCACTCGGTGCCCGGAAGAGCCGGGCCTGGCACAGCCCGCGGTGATCTAGGGGAGCCTGCGGCGGCTGCCCTTCCCGAGCACCTTTTCCTTCCAGGGGAGCACACGCGGGGGCGGTGGGCACGGGGACCCACACCCGGCTCGGCGGTGAGTGCCCCCCGGCCGCAGCCACGCCTCGCCCCGCGCGTGACAGCCCTCAGAAAAACTTTAATTCTAAACTGCCCAGATGACATGGGACTGCCTGAAAAACAATGGCACGTCATTGTTGGGTTGCTCAAAATGTATGTTTCTCATGCGCCTGGAGATCCTGCATAAGCACTGTTTATGGAGAGCATAATTACTATTTTTGTTAGTTTCGTTAATAATGAAAGCACACCATTTGGTGGCCCGTTCCAGCGATTTCACAATAAGCAGCCTTCATTAATAATGCGTATGAGAACTGTCTTTCCAGAATGGGTTGAGGATATCTGAGTTCAGACTGTTGTTGAAGTGTCTTCCTGTTTTACCCCTGAAGTGGTTGTAGCGAATCTTCTGGCTTTCTTGACGGTAGATGAAACCAACTGCCAGGATTTAGTGAATCCTAAACCTACCAAAATATTTAATGATAAAAATAAACAAATGATTCAAGACCAGACTTCTTTGTGTAGGCCTGTCTCTACAATGCCATTTCATTCTTTTTTTTTTTTTTTTTTTGATCAAAAGAAAAAAAAAGTGACGGCTACATTTTAATTATGGTTTTGGTCATTTGTGGAGTCTTTGTCTTAGATTTCTGCTACAATAGTGAGAGATTTGGGAGATTGTAAATGAACATGAATTTAGCTTGTTTGGAAAGAGAATTAAGACAGAGGAAAAATGGTCTTTTTGGAGCACTGTGTCCTGTTTATTTTCATCTTTTACAATATAATTTCTGCAAGTACTTTTGGGGATTATTTTGAAGTTTTTTTTTTTAACTGAAGAATGTGCAAGTCAAAAGTTTAAGTGGGAAACATTTTGTTGTCTAGGAAATCAAGTAGTTGATTGATCTTTTAAAAGTTTTTTTTTTTTGCGGGGGGGGGGGGGGGGTTGTGATACATAAGAACACATTAAGGGAAGTAATAACCAAATATTAAGCACACAGATTTAGATCTAAAAATGGATGGTCAAAGATCTTGGGAACTGAGGGACCTTCTTGCCAAATAAGGAAACTTGGCAAGCTGCAGTGTGTATTTTAAGTCGGTGAGGAGTGAGCGCAATTGGCAATACTTTGGCTTGGTGCCTATCTGGGCTAAGCAGTGCAACTGAGTCTGATAGGGCTGCAGAGCTGTGCACAGGAGTTACGAAGGGTGTGGGGTGAACAACTGAATCATCCGAGGAGACACTGAAGAAAAGAGGTCAGATGAAGCTCGCAGTGTGCCCAGCAGAACAGCCAGTGGAGTTTAGAACTTGACACATTCAGAGAAGAGCCAGTGAGTTCTTCTGTTAAGCTGGGAAAAGGAGTTTGTGGTGATACAGTATAGTTGGATTGAGAGAGCCTCTGTACCCTCAGATGTTGGGAGTAAAAGTTGGGATCATTTGTTTTCCATTTTATTCTGCCCAGGACAGATTGACAAGGGGCGGGGCCTGGTCTATCTAAATATAATAGCAACAGCTGAGACACCTTCCATCTGACTGTGGGGAAGATTCAGGCTACTTCCTTTGTGGCTATTAACCTTGGTCCACTACACATAAATAAGCATAGTTCCAGCTGTATCCAAAGTTGTTACCTGTGCGGGGAAGACAGCTATCCATGCCAGAGTATGATGATTTGGCTGATACTACAGGGGCTTTTGTGTCAGACCCTCCTAGAGACAGCTGAAGCATTGGGTATACTAGGAGATAAAAAATCCCCACCCACTAAAACACCACGAGAACCAGGAGCCACACATCTGATACTTAACCCATTGACACCATTGCTAATAGAAAACCAAAGCCTCAAATACGTGGATAGGAAGCAATCTAGTCATTACCCTAACAAGAAATGAGTCAGTTTATAGAAAAAAAAAAAGGACAATTAGGAGGCAGGAAATGCTGAGGTAGAAAAAAGGCATACGGTAGAAGAAAAGGAGGGGACCCACGTGGAATTCCAGTGGTGTCATATGTAAATGAGGCTTGGCCAGCCGTTCACACCCTTGGGAGACAGTGATACCTGCTTCCTGGGGAGAGGTCTATGAGACAGCATGTGGAAATGCTCGGGCTTGTCCCTGAAGTCCCCGAGGCTCCAGCTACCGGGACTGAGTGCAGAGAGGGCTTTCCCACATTTCTCAAGCTGTGCATAACTCTGCTCTCCCAGGCAAGGCTTGCCCACAGTGTTTTGCCCTGTTCCTTTCGTACTTAAATGTATATGCTGAGAGTAGATGGAATTTTCCTACCTGGTCCTCTTTGTATACAATGGTTTCCAAAGCGATTCTGTAATATTGTATGTTGGGAATGAATTTGAAGATTAATACACTTAAGTATATATAGAAAGAGTTTGGAAGTTAGGGGAACATGGGAAGGCTATGACTGAGAAGCCAGAGCTAAGATCACTTGGAACCATTCACAGGGCTCGTTTTGAGTAGCTCCTGTCTTCAGGGTCCCAGTTCAGGACTCCACACAGGAAGCACTAAAGGAGAAGGAACACATTTATCTCTAGGCCGTGGAGTAAATATTTGCTATCAAAATACCCTACTGTGAAGGAGAGTGTGTCCCTTTGAGGATCTGCAGATACAACCATAAGCACCTCCAATGTAGGCAAATGTCTGCTTTAAAGTCTTGCATTTAACCTTAAAAATCCACTTGTCTTCCTCAACTGAGCAAACGAATCTAAACAGACCCATTCATTCCTCTACATCTGAAAGTCGGATGAGTGCTGTGGGACTCACCCACCTTCTCAGCAGAGTGCGTACTGCCTGTGTGGGAATAAACACGTGGGAAGATGGGGTTGGCCCTGCTCAGGTTTGTAGCCCAGCCTGATGGAGGAGGGAATGTGACTCCATTTTGCTAGGGAAAGAGTTGAATTAGTTCATCATCCCAAGAATCTGTATGGTCTGTGCTTATCCTGATGGTCCCACGATGCAAAGAGCTCTTTGCTTTGGGGATGGGAGAGAAGAGTTCAAGATGGACATTGGAATGTGGACCTCTCCAGCTATGAGAGAAGAATTTCAAGAGTGTGGCCCAAGAACTTCCATTATTTCCATCGAAGATACAGATTCCTGAACACCCCCCCCCCCCACCCCGGCCTATGTTTACCGTCAGGTGTGTCTCCTAGTAAAGGGAGGTGGTCTATCAGCACCTCGTACAAACCTGGTTCGTCACTGTGCCAGTAAGGCTGAAGGAGACCTTGGAGACACATCCATTCTTAGCTCACTGATGCAGGATCTCCACTCCATGCCTCCTCCTCCTCCTCCTGTTGAACACTCAGAGATGTGTCACTCGCTGCCCAGAGGGCGGAAGAGTTTCTTGTGGCACGAGTCACCAGCGATTGTGGCATTTGTACCCACAGATCATTTTTACCTCTCAGTCAGCAAAGGATAATGCAGGTCTTGCTCTGGACTGATGTGAATATCCTCGTGTCTGTCTTAGCCTTCATCTTCCTTCAGATGACCCGGTTCTGACCCGCATGTGGACCCACGTTAGGAAGCATTCCTTCTAGGTAACCAATCTGAAGTTGCACCCTGTTTGTCAGAAGCCAGGCTGGTTGGGTATTTCCTATTTGACAGGGACAGTGCTGGAGTAGAGGACTGTACAGCAAATCCCCACGATGAGTGGGGGGCTGGCTTAGGCAGTGGACCTTTTACCCAGACGAGCACCAGCCCCAGGCACCTGTGCGTTCTTCTAGACAGCCCCAGAAATATGCCCTCTCCGTGTTCCCCGTCTTTACTCAGGGACAGTCCCATCTCTTCTCTTTCCACGAGAGCCCCTCCAGTGGCCCCAGGACGTGGATGTACTTACCTCTTGTTTCCTAGTTGGGCTTTTTCTAACACAGACTCGTTTCACACAGCGTCTCTCCACCAACCACTTCCCTGCTTCTTATTTATTTTATTTCTGCTAACAGCATTTCTGGCAAGGAAGCATGCCATGGGAGTTGATTTTTATTTATTGGGATATTAATGGATGAATAAGAATGTTTCATTTAACTAGCTTGTTTTTATTTTAACCTTTGCTCCGTCTGAAGAATTATATTACTTATATGGTAAAGCACAGATAGAGAGGGGAATCGTCTCCTCAGCTACCACGCCGGGAGAAGTCCTGTTTCCTGGGCTCAGCCTGTTTTATGTGAGCGCTGCTTTTCTGGAAGCAGTTTAGAGGAAAGTAGCAAAGTAGACACACTTCTAGTTAGTTTTATTCTTAGACCTACTTTTGCAGCTTTTATTGTTAATGATTTTTTTTTTTTAAAGAAAGACACAGAGCAGTCTGTTCAGGAATTGCTTCTTTAAATCTCTGACCCTGACATTATGAAGAAATGCATCAAACCAAAGATTTCCCAATTCTTTAAAAAAAGATATGCCCTTAGAAGAATACAGGACAGTAATTCCAAACAGCATTGTAAAGCACGTGACGATAAGCGGTTTTGATTCATGTACTTACTGAACTGTATGAAGAAACACCCTTCGGAGCAAGGCTGAGGGCTGCTTTTGAGAAAGCATCTTTAAGGTTTTTTTTATTTTTTATTGTGTGTGTATGTGTATGTTTGGACGTGCCAATGCATGGAGGTCAGAGGACAAGTTGTGGGAGTCAGTTCTCTTCTTCTACCCCGTGGGTTCCTAGGGTCAAACTCAGGCTTGCTT